TGATGGAGGGGAAAGGTGATGGAGGGGAAAGGTGATGGAGTGGGAAAGGTGATGGAGTGGGAAAGAAGGTGATGGAGTGGGAAGGGTGATGGAGGGGAAAGGTGATGGAGTGGGAAAGAAGGTGATGGAGTGGGAAAGGTGATGGAGCGGGAAAGAAGGTGATGGAGTGGGAAAGGTGATGGAGTGGGAAAGAAGGTGATGGAGTGGGAAAGGTGATGTAGCGGGAAAGGTGATGGAGGGGAAAGGTGACGGAGTGGGAACAGTGATGGAGGGGAAAGGTGATGGCCGACAGGTCGCCCTGGCCCCGGCCCCTCGCAGCCCTTCCTCGCAGGCGGGAGGGGGATGAGACCCCTGTACCCCTCAGGTGCCCCCTCTGTAAAGTGAGGGCTTGGATGTGCTTCTCTGCAAGCCTCGGGCTTGGCATGATGTTCAAGAGCAAAGGACCAGCGTGGGGGTCCAGTGTCCATGGCTCTCCAGCCTTGGGTCCCTGAACCGGTGAAAAGGTCCTTTTTGTCTTATTTTTATCCTCACCCGCGGATATTTTCCCACTGGTTTCCAGGGAGAGTGGGAAAGGGAGGGGAAGACAGAGAGAGAGAAACATCCATGTGACAAAAACACATCCAGGGACCCGGAGGACCCAGCAACAAGGCGCGTGCCCTGAACAGAGATTGAGCCCGGGACCCTTTGGTCCTCAGGCCGGCGCTCTAGCCGCTGAGCCAAACCCGCAGGGGCTGAGGAGAGGTTCTTAAAGAGCCCTTAATGCTCTGAGTCAAACTGAACTCATCCAAATGCCAAATATTACTGATATTTGGCCTTTTTTTTTGGACCCACAAGGGTGACCATTTCATGTGGTTTCACCGAATACGAAAGAAACCATCCTGATGCCCGGTGTCCTCATTAGCCCCACGCTTGTTGTCCCCCTGGGGCCTTTGCCTGCCAGTCCCAGCCCCATGTGCCCCTCACGCCACCCCCTGTCACTCTCGCCCCCGGCCTGGCAGGCAGTGAGGCGGGCCCAGCAGGTGGCCAACTTCACCCTGAAGGTGGAGGTGGAGTGCAGCAGCCTGCAGGAGGCCCTGGAGGCGGCAGAGGCAGGAGCAGACCTCGTGTTGCTGGACAACTTCAGGCCGGAGGTGAGCAGGGTCTGCTTCTCGGAGGGGCCGTGTTAGGGGCTGTCACCTCCCCTCGGCTTGTGTCCCGCAGGAGCTGCACCCCACGGCCGAAGCGCTGAAGGCCCGGTTCCCGCGTGTGGGCGTGGAGGCCAGCGGGGGCATCACGCTGGGCAACCTGCCTCAGTTCTGCGGGCCGCACGTCGATGTCATCTCCTTGGGGATGCTGACCCAGGCGGCCCCAGCCCTGGATTTCTCCCTGAAGCTGTTTGCTGAGGGGGCCACTCCGGCGCCCCATGCCCGCCGCTCCTAACGCCGAAGAGGATGACACTGGCCACGGGATAACATGGTTTTTTTGGGACTCTACCTCTGCTCGCCTCAGTTTCCTAATCTGTAAAATGGGTCTAATAAATGACCAACCTCAGACATTTCTTTGGCCGTAGTTAACACGTGGTAAGCGCTCGGGAAATCCTAGAAATTACCAGAGTTGTCTTTTCTGCTATGCACTTCGTCACACTCCGCCTTCTCGCCAGTCAAGTTGTGTCTGTAATCAGCAGTGCCTGGTGGCCACTGTCAGCCAGGCACCGGCCATCCCGTGGCTGCCGTGGCCGTACATGCCGGTTATAGGTACAACCTGGTCATCTCTGCTGAAACAAGTCCTGCTGAGCCCTTTCTACAAATAGAAAGAAGTGGTGAGTGAAGCAAGCGTTGGTCATCGTTCGATCGGCACTGTTCTTTTTTTTTTTTTTTAATATATTTTATTGATTTTTTTACAGAGAGGAAGGGAGAGGGAT